CCCGTCGGTGGCGCCGTCGGCGGCCTTGCGCTGCAGGGAGATCTGCACCGACGAGCTGCGGGTGGGGCGCGCGTCGACGCCGGCCAGCAGCTGCGGGATGAACATGGACGTGCTCCGCTTGAGCGCGCCCACACCTCCGTGCGGGCTGCCGTCCTCCCCGCCGTGCCGAGCAAACGGGTGCGGGCCGCTCCTCCGCGGAAGCGTGTGGAATGCCATGAAAAAGTCGTCTTCTCTCTCCTGGTCTAGGATCTCTGATTCGGGGGCTGTGTTGCTGCGACCAGAGCCAAAATGAAACCGAAGCCGATGGGCCATGGTGACCAGGGGGGCCGGGAGGGAGAGGGCCAGCGGCAACAACAAGCCGGGCACTGCCAGAAGTCAAAAAGCAAAGGCACAAACTCCAAGAAAAAGTGTCCCATCTGCCAAACCGTTAGCACTGCGGCACCAAGAGCGACAGATAGCAGAAATAACCCAAGTGGCAAGCGGCATTCCAGGCATGATTGGATAAGAGCAAAAAGCTCTCATCCACACTGTGACAGAGGGTAGGATGGCCAGGACCACATGACCACACACTCCCACTCCAATGCCAGCTTGTGGACTTAGTGGATTTTCCCCCCTCTCGCTTTTTTTTTTTTTTTTTTTTTTTTTTTTAAACCAGCAAGAGCCTGAAACAGCACCTTCCCAGCTGCTGCTTTTCCATCAGAAAGGAGTGGCCCCAGCAGGGAGCTCTCACAGCTGACAAGGCAGCAGCGGACACACTGTAAGCCATGCCGCTATAAATCTAAACCACATCATATTCACAGGACGTTTCTTTCCCAACTAAGCAGTGCACTGGGACTCTGACCAGCGTGAGGGAGCTGGCATTAAACACAAACGCACACAGTATTTCCCCACCTCCCCACCACACTGAATAATGACACATACGGCTTGGCTGGAGGGCAAACCCTTTCACAAGCAACGGATGCTATGTTTCTGTTATTTATGATATCACTACACTACCACGACGGAATGCAAACTAATAAAACGTACTATAAATATGACTACACACCCCACGGAATCAGTGTCCCTCTAATGCTAAAAAATTAGACCATGACCTACAAGTAACAAAATAGTTAAGTGGAAGTGCAGGAGGGCACAAATTACTTGACAGCCACTTGGCAGTCCGGCCAGCCTCCTGTACAACACTTTTCATTTAAAAGGTATGTGTGTATCTCGCACATAATATGATTGTCAGACACGGAAGCACCAGAGAAAAGGAATCCGGCTGTAGAAAACATTCTCTCCCACATGCCAGGTAGGAGAAAAAACCACCACCAACAAAAAGGAAAATTGAAGAAGGGTGTGTATGTGGTTTTTGAAGTAATTTAACTTAAATATCGTACTGAAGAAATGCTGCCTGGAGCTGACTGTCTTCCAGTGAGAAGTCAGCAATATTACCACAGTTGGGATACAAACAAGCAGTCTTGCTATGTTTGCAAAGGGCCAAAAAGGACCTAAGAAATAAAAGTGGAAATCCACATTCGAAAAACTGTCATTGGATTTGTAATTAACTTGGCATTTTTGGTAATTCAGAAACATCAGTCATGTAACAAAGAGGTTTATTTATGAAGGGGTTAAAAAAAATGGGAGGGGAAAATACCAAACTGCGAAGAGTGACAAAAAGTTTATTTTAAAATCCACAAAGCATGACTTACTCACACCTCTAGAGTGGAGGGTGTGGAAGACTAACCCTGTGTTTACATACATCCAAACCTGTTTTCTAAAAGTATGTGTTTTAAATGCTAGAAGTGACCTCTATGAGAAATGGAAGCTAGTTTGTTTACTGCTAATACTTCCAAGTACTACTATAGTCACGTATAAGTACTAATGGAGTCACAAGTTGTCCTTCCAAAGAAAAGAAACACCACCAGCAACATTCTTTGCATAGTTAACAACACTCCAGATGGCCCTGGGCAAAGCTAAGTATTAATCTTATAAAACACAATTTTTCAGATAAAGTCTGTATTCACACAGGGTTCTTAAAATCTTTGCATTCAAAGGCCTTTTTGGTTTGGAAGTATAGTTTCAGGTCCATCACAAGGTCATCTCAACTACAGTCATCTTAGATCGTGGAAATGAGAAGAAAAATTTTTTTTTAGATAGTGAATTTCTCTTAATAGAAGAAAATTAAATAATGAACTAAAACATATCTGACAAGAGGCAATATTTCCTCAAATTTGACTCTTCATCTTAAAGAATTATTACACTCAATAAATCAAAGAATAAGGATTAGTCTATGCATACATGGATGTCTCCAGGGACTTGCTAGTACACTACTGAATACTGCCTAATTCATACAGTCCTTGGCTGGACGAGAGGTGAAGAGAAAATAGTTATTCAGTACTACTAATTATCACCCAAGGTACAAAATGGTGAGTTCAATACAAAACCACCAAGATCCCACATTTTTAACAGAAAAGATATTAGGATGGTAGGCCAGAGTCTGTTAGCTTTCTATGTTCGAGAGTAATACCAAGCATATTAGATTAAAAACAATCTCAAATTTTACAATAAGGGTGCAAGGCCTGCACTGGGCTGAGGTCTAGGAGACCAGCAAGTAGGACCCTGGTGCTTCCACTGACTGGCGTGTGTAAATTACAAAAGGCCCTGGACCAGGGTTCTCTCAGCCATAAGGACACGAAGTTAAAGTGGTGTTTTTATAAGACTCCTCCAGATCAAATATTCTATTAACCTCCAGCCATAAAAAAAATTTAGAGGTTCAGCTGAATTCTACAGGTTCATTTCTATGGTTGGAACACTTAGCCCATGGATACCTGATGTACACATTCTAGTTAGTTAAGAAAGCAAAATGCTTTAAGCCAAATTTCCTACTAAAATTCCATTTCTAAAATGAAATCTTAGTTATATCAGTTATATATATATGTATCAATCCATATACACACACACATATATATGTCAATCTATATATACAATGTTAATTTATATCACTTATCTTCCTTAGGCGAAATTTCCTACTAAAATTCCATTTCTAAAATGAAATCTTAGTTATATCAGTTATATATATATATGTATCAATCCATATACACACACACACATATATATGTCAATCTATATATACAATGTTAATTTATATCACTTATCTTCCTTAGGCATATCTTTGGTTCTTTAAAAGTACTTTTTTTTTCTTTTGGCAGCTGGCTGGTATGGGGATCTGAACCCTCGACCTTGGTGTTATAACACTGTGCTCTAACTAACTGAGCACATCAATCAGCCCCTAAAGCTATTTTCTAAGGCTCTCAAGAAAGTTCTGCTTTTAAAATTCAGTTTAATTGTACCTGCTAAATGTAGATTAGACACTTCCTGCTATATACTGTTAATTAAATTTTCATCTGTCTAGAGAGAATCACCATAGACTTGCTACTGAATGCATCACAGTACTATAGTCTAGTTTATATTTTAAAACCCTGAAAGGTTTGTTTACATGCCTAGTGGCCTCTTTGCAGATCCACCTACTGTACTGTATTCCCAGTACCAGAGCATAAATGTGCATACAGCTGATACCATCAACGATGACTTTCATTAACATTAACTGTGATAAAAATACACACATATACAAATACATTATCTGTCCTAGCAACACAAAAGTATCTGTTTTAATCATGAATGTTAAAATAGTAGGACAAAAAATAGTCTTCTATTTGGGCATATATACTGTCTTAAGAACAACATAAAGACAGAGTTTTAAAGATACTACTTTAAAAATTCAGTTTTTAAAAAAAGAAACAAAACCCCAAAACAGAGACTTACTTACCAATCTGTTTTCGTCAAATACTTCAAACAGGAGTCTGTGATTAGATGGGTTTACCTATAAGGGACATGAAGAGTATTTCAAAACAGGAACCATTTGAAGGGTGAAATAAGAGACAGAACAGAATGATTTTTTTTTTTTTAAATGCACCTACCTCAATTGTATAATATGAACGATTAACCTACTCTTCTGGAAATTCTGTCTACTAAATCAAATTTTCTATTATTGACTTCCATATTATTCTACCCCTAATATTTAGGCATATCAGAAGAAGAAAAGGCTCTTAGGAGTTTTTCTAAAATAAGGAAGGATAATTCTAAATAGCTTTAAAGAGTTCCTAATTTCCTTTATGAAAGACAACCCCATGCCTATAGAACAAGTTCACATCCTCACAAAGGTCTGTGCCTGAGGAAATCTCTTAGGCCTAATAATAATAATAGAAGTTATTATTATAAATAATAATAATGAAGAAATAATTATATTTATTTTAAATGTAATATTTTAAAAATATTATAAATAATGAAGAAAATAGTCATAGCGGCTCTTTACAACTGTGTGCATATTTTTTAGGCACCATCTCCTTGTTAAATATAAAAAATACATGATCTCATTTAATTCTCACAGCAACCCTGTGATGCATAACTATCACCCAGTTTTACGAATGAGGAGCCGAGACCATGAGCATGAAGTAACTTGCCTGAGAGCAGCTGGGCAAACAGGATCGCACCAGGTCTGACCCGCTTGTCTCCAGAACCTCAGCTGTGAGCCGTTACACACAGAAATAAAAGACGTCTCCACTTCTAGCAACATGAGGCCAGTGTCAGAGCTACTGGGCTTTCAATGACTTTTTGCTTATTTCTTTTTCTTTCCCAAAACCTCACCAACATGGCCCATGTCATCACCCAGACTCAGGTATCATTTACTAAGTACCAGCCATGTGGGAGACATGTTGTGTATGTTCTCGTGTATATCATGGCATGTAAACCATGGAAACAACCCTACCACGTAAGGACTTCTCTCTCCTACATATCCTCAGGGAGAAGATGGCAAGTCCTCAGGTGGCTTCTACAGGGTCATAAAGGCTGTAAATGGAAAAGCCATTTCCATTTACTTCCATTTGCTTTGTGAAGTAACATTTGACCGTACAAGCACAGAGTGAGGGGCTTGTGCTTCTGGCCCTGCGGTCTGCCTGGAGCCTAGTGATAGGGCAAGCAGATAGACAACGAGTTTACTGTCTGTTACAAGCTTTGTGAAGGGTTACACAGTCTGTACAAGAGCCAGCATACAGTAGGCACTCAATAAAGATTTGTGGAATGAATGAAAACAAAGACCTTAAAAAAAAAAACCCAACAAAAGTAGAATTTAAATATGTCTCTAGCCAACATGAGTTGAGAAAAGTTTTGAATGGATTAAAACTTACATAATTGTGGCCAAAGGGTTCAACTGAAAGGAGTCTAAACGGAAGTTTTACAAGTGGAAAGTTATATTTGAGAGTTAACTAAGGGCAAATAACACCTATCTGCCACTATTGGCTTTTCAATCCTTCATGGAGTAATTTAAAATACATCTGTTAGAGGCTGTACATATAGTCTCACCAAGTATTAAAACATCAGTGCCATATTTCAGCTCTGAACATAATAGAAAACAGATGCTGTATACAGTAATCCAAGTCAGGAGCACATAACATACTATCGTGATTGAAAGGAATCAGGACCAATTATAATGGCAATATCGTTTTATGGGAATTTGCACTAATCAGAAGACCTAATCTGGAATGTTTCTGGAGGTAAAGCTGTTTTTAATATCACAGCTATACAATTAAAATATCTTCACTTTGAAGAGGAAAAAACTTTCAATAAAATAGCTGAGCAGTTTAATATTTCCAACATTTTGGTAATAAAAAGCAGCAATAACCACAAAAGCTCACTAAACAGAAATCTCAGTTAATTCACATAGTTCAGTCATTTCTACATAACAGCTGTTCTAGGTATTAAATATAAAAGGTTGAGGAAATTTTACCTAATTCAGCAGTATTGAAATTCCAGAAGTAATTTTATATTACACACATACTATAATATGTGAGTGACAAAAATTTTCCTCCCTAAATGGAACGTAATTGATAATTTTTATGCTTCTTTTCAATCATTTTGCCTCTATCGATTTACTCTACTTCCAAAATAATCCATAACCCATGTCTCATAGAAATAATTAAACTATTGTTTTAAATTATATTTGATTTAAAAAAATTAAAAAATAAATAAATTATATTTGATTTTTTTTTTAAAGGGTTGAGTTGAAAAGATCAAATACGGTATTTGAATAACTTTCTTTTTACTTCCCCCAAAACATGCCCAAATGAAACAAGTCCAGATATTGTGAACACTACACACAGTCTTTCAAAATTTGGAACACATTAGAAGCTGCCCAACCATTTCTCACCTTAAAAGAAAATTCACATTAAAAACATAACAGCTTTCCCTCAATGTGAATCTACTGTGATAATATATCAGACAGATATCAATAACAATCATTACCAAAAAATGAAAAACTTACTCTAAAATAAAATTCTTCATTCCATTTCGGGTTCAGCGTCTGGAAGAAAAATTATCTTGTAATATCTTTTACAGTCTTCAAAATATTAACAGTTACTAGTACAATACAGTCTACATATTTGCTTAACATTTTTCTTGACAAAAATAGCTAAGAGATTTTCAAAATGGAATAAAAGAAACATTCAGTCAATTATTTGAGACAAGTCTATAAACCAAACTAGATGGAGAGGGAGTATATTTATGAAACAAATGATTCATAGATATGAAACCATAAATTGCATGCTATCATCAGAAGGAAAAACATCAGGGACCTACAAAAAGCCATCATCAAGAAAACATGAAAATTTCCTTCAACGAACTAGCATTGATATGATTATCTATCAAGAAGGAAATAAACTTTGTGGACTTCCCTCTACCTGCTATGAATCTGTTTTGGAGAGCAATGAAGTAGATGGGAGAAGGTAAGAAATTGTTCCTTATTTATAAAAATATGAAATTTGAAGAACTTTTTAGAGAGAATATTGACAATCAGCTTTTATAACAAGGAAAAAAAAGCTGCTGGTTATAAATCAAAAGGGAATTTCCCTTTTGGGTTAAAAATATCTGTTAAATATCAGGTTAAAAAATATCTGTTGACTTATCCTTCAAACCTCCTCTCCATCTGTCCATCCATCCATCCATCAACCTACTTAAACATACATCTCACAAGAGCATGGCAAGGATACTTCTGTCCTCCTCATGGAGAAAAGATGGACTGCCCAACAGCCTTCAAAACTAAGATGAAGCACATTCTACGAAGGAACACACGTACATGTATGTCTGTACATTTGCACATGCATAATACTCTCAAATAAACACATCTCTTTAAAAATTGTGTAAAAATTTGAGACTGAAAAATTACCACCATGTCAACAGCTACAGATATTTTTTAGTCAAAATGATATTTGCCTTTATCAGCCACATTTCCTTTAACATATCGGTTAAAGAGAGAAGCAAAAAATCATCATCAGCAGCAGCACTGAGCACCAGAAAAATAAAAAACAAAACTCATACAAAACTGGCATTTAAAAAAAATCAGCACTTTCCCCACCCGCAACTCCACAGTGAATCCAATCCTAAATAACAGGGTTTCAAATTGGATATGAATGGAGCGGGAATGGATTAATGACTGAGGGGGGTGGGGAGGAGAGGAGCTGGAGAGGGAGCAGCCCCCTCCCCTGCCCGGGGCCGCAGCAGTCCTGGAGGGCAGCTTCACGGGGCGAAATGACAAACAACAACATGAGAGCACGAGACGAAGGAAGCACCAGTCACAGAGCCATGAGCAGGAGAGGATGACCGAGAGCAGCACACACATACTAACCAGGAGGCTGGCTGCCGAAAGCAGCAGAGCTGCCAAGATACAGAGCTACACCCTCAACCGAGAGAGGGACGGCGAAGGAGGACCAGAAGGAAAGACAATGCAATATCCCCAACTGCCAGCTTTGGCCCTTGGCTCAGCGTCCAGCAGGCGACCTGGGCACCGGGCTGCCTTCCCTGCAAGGCACCCCCGGCTGCACTGGTAACTGAACAAATGACAGCACCTAACACAGGGAACAATGGCCTCCGTCCTTCGCAGGCATCCTCCCCACTAATCAAAACACTGGCTTCTGTTTGCAAAACAGATTTTTAATGCCAGTCCCAATGTCAGGTGGGGGACGCACTGCAGTCACGGTTCCTTACACAAAATGACCTGGCCACAGATCCAAGGGTCTTCATAGCAGCAGGAGAGTTATAATTTTTTTTAAAGCAATCATACTGTCCAGGAAATGTCTATCAGACAGTGTTAGACTAGCTAATCAACCCCTCCACCAAAGGTAGTGAGGAAAAAATAACAGGAATGCATAAATAATACTAAAGCACCGATGAAAACATTATTTTTGATAGAAAACATGCATCTTCAATAAAGCCCCCAAATATGGAGTAGATGTTAATATATATTTTACATATGTATATAAAAACATAGAGAGAGGTGAATTAAGGTATAATTATAATTATGGAAATAAATCTTTAATGAAATCACACACATAAAACTTAGGAAAATACATATACATACACATATAACTTTATTATTAATATATTTTATGTGTTTTCATGTAGCTAAGTATTTTGCTTTCTTTGGTAACAGTTTTTTCACATTAAACCATTCCTTTTGTGCCTACCAATTCCATAAACTAGTCCATTTCATTAAATTATTTTAAATTTCCATATGAAAACTAACAATAAGAACAAATTCTTGTTTTGCAATATTCTTTGCAAGAAAAAAATTACTACTTGTAATAAGACTTATTTTCAGAATACTATTTTTTACAGTCATTAACTAAAAACCAGAATTGATATCTTGGGTTAATACTGAAAAGTTCTGGTCTACGGAGGATTTATAGATTTAATACTGAGAGAGGCTTAGAATAAAAATATTACTATCTTATCCTTAAAACATAAAGTTCTACAAAGCCAAAATCCATAATTTAATTGAATTAAATTACGACTTAAATGAAGTTTAGTAAAGGAATAAACACCTACCTTTTTAATTGTTTTTGTCTGTACCAAAGCAAGTTCTCTATTCTCATCCGCTACATACAATGAAAGTTTCACATATGGGTCACTGTAAGAAAACATTTCAAATTTAATAGGATTATACTCTTTTCATTTTAAAAATATGAAAAAAGAAAGTAGCTGGACCTAAATAAAAATGCAAATGTTAGTTAACATCCCAGCTCATATTAATTCCCCAAACTAAGCGGTAATGTTTTTAACATGCCTACTAAATCAACATATACTCTGAGAAAAGTTTCTATCTATTCTCATCCGCTACATACAATGAAAGTTTCACATATGGGTCACTGTAAGAAAACATTTCAGATTTAATAGGATTATACTCTTTTCATTTTAAAAATATGAAAAAAGAAAGTAGCTGGACCTAAATAAAAATGCAAATATTAGTTAACATCCCAGCTCATATTAATTCCCCAAACTAAGCGGTAAAGTTTTTAACATACCTACTAAATCAACATATACTCTGAGAAAAGTTTCTATCGCCCAGAGCCAATAATGTTTATAAAAAAGTCAAAAAATATGAAACTCATGTTCTAACTTTAAAGATAATTTTCCCTATAATTAATTTTAAAATCTGCCATTCTTGGGCCAGCCCCGTGGCTCGCACGGGAGAGTGCGGCGCTGGGAGCGCTGAGGCCAAGGCCACGGGCTCAGATCCTATATAGGGATGGCCAGTGAGCTCACTGGCTGAGCGTGGTGCAGACAATGTCGAGCCAAGGGGTTGCGATCCCCTTACCGGTCAGGAAAAAAAAAAAAACAAACCCTCCAGATTGATGAGCCCCCTAAAGCTGAATTCATTAGGTCTGGGGCAAAACCCTAGAACTTGCATTTCTAACAAGTTTTCAGTGATGCTGAGGCTCCTGATCTAGGAACCACACTTCAAGAACAACCATTGTAGATGCTATTTGAAAATAGTCTTTCTTAGCTATGGAAACTAAAATTTCCATTTCTAGCCACCAAACGACTAAAAAAAAAAAGCTCAGGGCCTGATTATCTCTACTACCTCCAGAACAGGCTTCCAGTGTGCAATGGAGGTGCATGCACATTCGCTTGCTCACACATGCACACACACACAGATTTATACACACACATAAAATCCCACATTATGGAGAATACCATAATCTCTGCTGCCTTCTCTTCTTTTTATGTCCCTTGGCTATCACGATTGCTGGCTATTATATACCCGCAATTAAGAGCTAAGCCTTCACGTTAATAAACAGCCACATTCCTCTACTGGTCATTTATTGACCTCAGTTTGTATTGCTGGAATAGCTCACAATAAGTAATGCATGCAGTTGGGAATTGTGGGTGGGGTCTGAATGTGGCACAAAGTGCCTTCCAGCTGCCTCTGCTGCCTTCTCTTCTTTTTATGTCCCTTGGCTATCACGATTGCTGGCTATTATATACCTGCAATTAAGAGCTAAGCCTTCACGTTAATAAACAGCCACATTCCTCTACTGGTCATTTATTGACCTCAGTTTGTATCGCTGGAATAGCTCACAATAAGTAATGCATGCAGTTGGGAATTGTGGGTGGGGTCTGAATGTGGCACAAAGTGCCTTCCAGCTGTAATAAGGAAGTCATGTCTGAGCACATAAAATCTGTTGTGCTCATTCTGGTAGGTATTAGGGTACCATCAAGAAACTTCCTGGAAGAGAAATCAGACTGAAGAGAGAACCAAAGGCCAAAGTGCCAGAGCTGGTTAAAGGACAGTAGGGTGCAAGGTCAGGAGGAGGGGAAAACGGTGGCCCAGATAGCTCACAGGCTCCTCCCTCCCTTTCTGCTGGTACTTAACCACTCTGAACTTCAGACTGACCATGAATGAAATGGGACTGACAATTCCTAACACAGAGGGTTACTGTAAGAATTAGGGAAAACTATATTAATACCAGTAACCCAGCACCGTGCCCAACACATAGAACAAGTGCCCCCTAAATGCACCATTGTAATGGTTATTCTGTCTCTCCTATCTTATGAGACTTTTGAGGTTTTCTGCTGCTCCTTTTGACTCCCTCCTTCTGCTGTGAATACCTATTTGACACTGATGACCTCACAGTACAAGCTGGGTGCTGGCCAACCACAGCATGCTAGGTATTCCCCGCTTCCTCATTATTCATACCCTGTGCAAGCCCCAAGGCGATCTGGTGGAGGAGCTCAAGCTGGTAACCTTATTCACTACAAAGCTCACCAAAATTCTTGGCACCTAGTAACTGTCCTAGTGCTGGTGTTCAGTCGAACTCAGAGCTATTAAGCATTATTATTGTGACTCTCTAAGAAGCTCAATGCTTTGTAGGAACATGTGGCTTAGAAGAGAAATTCTCTTTTGCAAACCTTATGTTTTTTCTGCTTAGTGAAGCTGTTTAGGTATCACGTTCTTCCTTTCGGCCTTCCCAAAAAGACAAAAAACTGGTACTAGGATTCAAACGACCTCCTATTTACTGAGCACCTATTATATGCCAGGCAAGGAAACAATCACCAGGAATACAAGACATTATCCCTGCCCTATTTGATTGGAAAACGGAGAAATAAAATGATGATTGTGACAGAGCGTGCCAGGAATACAACAGTCAGCAGCAGTGGTCCTTAACCTCATGCACACCAGTCATCTGTAATCCAGATGCTGGCCCCACCCTAGACCTGCTAGGTCAGAATCTCCAGGGTTAAGATCTGCACTTATCAAGTGTCCCAGCTGATTTCTATGTGCTGGTCCATCTGGGCACCACTGCAAGAGAGGAGTCTGAGGGTACACACATGGGGCTGGGAGGCAAGGGACAAGAACAGAGTGAGGGTTTTCCAGGCAGAAAGACCACAGGCAAAGGTCTACTGACACGCTGGAGATGGGATTCTGAACTTTAGAAGTCTGGCACAGCTACAATCTGGAAGGCTCAGGGAGAAAAGGCAGCTGGAAAGGGAACTGAGGCTCAAACCACAAGGATCCATCTGTCCCTGCTGGAGCTCAAGTCCTGGCTCCCTCTATGTGTAGCTGTATGACTTTGGGAAACTCACATAGCCTCTCTGTGCCTCAGTTTTACTATGCATATAATGGGAATAATAGCAGTACTTCCCTTATGAGGAGACTGTTGAGAAATTAAAATTACAATAGTGCTTGACATGTAGTAAGCACTCAAAAGTTAGCCACTGCTGACATCATCATCATCATCATGGGGTTGTTGAAATACAGAATACTCATGATCAGATTCATTACAAGGAGATACAGAGAGGCAGCAAGGATCAAAAAGAAAGGATTGGGAGGAAAGGGGAGTCCACATCAACCTCTGGGTCTCAAGCCTCTTGATAAATTATGTCACTATACAAGGGGCCCTCAAATCTTCTGCTCCATGTTCACAATGGTGCGTTTGTATGTAAGTTTGTGAGGCCTATCAAATAATGACGGTCTGAGCTGTCCATCATCAGAGAATCATTCAACTATTAGTTTAAACATTCAGCCTAGCCTCCAAATTCACATATCTAGCTCAGCAGACTATAAAATGTACCCTGAAGAGTCTTAGGTGCCTCAGTATTTTTCACTGAGTATTACAAAGTCTAGAAGAAAAACTACTTGAGAGTTTCAAGCTGTTCACTCACAGGAAAGGTACCTCATGTGCACACCAAAGATTACATTGAGGGAAAAGATAGAAGGGTGATATCACCTTATCTTAGATATATGAGATACACCAGAAATTTTGCATGAAATCAACAGCTAGAAGACAGATCCTCTTAACTGGGATGACATCATAAGGAGTCTCACGGACCCTCAGTAAAAAAAGCACCAGCACCTACTCTCTTATCATCAAAAGTCTTGGTCAAAAATCCATCTCGTTTTGTAAAACTTCCAAGAGAAGAGCTTTTTAATTGCTGTCTCCTTCATTCTCAGCCTGGAGCCCAGTGCTGAAAATCTGCAACTCCTCTCTGGGTCTCTGCACCAGTTGTTGCTAACACTCACAGAGAGACTCCAGGCCTGCACTGACCTCAACTGGGCTTAAAGAATTCTGAGATGGAAATCTTATTCAGGGGTCTCAATCCATCTTCATCCCCAATTAAGCAAAAGACAGCGCAGACCAGTTCCTCACTCGGGGAGAGTAGAACATGAGACTTTCTGGGTTCGTCCCACTGTTCAACCTTCCGGGACACACTGAATAATGACAGTTCTGACACGTCATTAATGCTGTGATGCGTGCCGATTTCCATCTGACTCACCGAAGTGTTCTACATTCTTCCACACCTATTACTTACTCATTTTTTATCAGAATAGCCTTTGCTGAGATCCACACATTTGAAGGGGGCGGGGCAGCGAGTGGGACAGGGAGGGCAGGAGTTGCCTCCAGGGGGCAAAGTGTCCCACATGGATTACATTCAGACACGGCCTATATATGATCAGCTAGCATTATGGCATGTATTTGTGCGCATCATTTCTTCTCTCTCACTTTCTAGGGGTTTTTTCCCTCTTATTTTTAAGCATTTTGTAAATGTTATTTCCTTATTGAGCATATAAGTAAATTTTGTAACGCTGACAGTGTTATAAATATGAAAAAGAACAGAGAAACCTTCAATAAAACAAGTTGTCATGTAACAAAATGGGTTTTGCAATGCACCTTTCTCTGGGTTAGCCAAGTCTTAGTGTGAGGGGTAGTGAAAATAAATTTGAATCTATGGTGCTGTGTAATGTGCTGTGTCCATTATCTCTGGGCTCTTTGCTAACAGGGAACAAAGACACAATCCTTTAACAGGCTGTCCCGGTACCACATTGAGCTCCTTCCTCCTTCAGGGAAGAATTATTGCTTCCTTCAGGGTGTGGTCGGTGGTGATGTTCCCTTGGGACATATGGTTGAAAATGAAGACCTTTCTCCTTGTTCTTCCAATGTCAGGTATCTTGGAAGGACACCTTTAGGAAACTGAAGTTTTTCTCTAACAAACTGTCTAAGACCGAAAAAAGTTAACACTTCCTAAAGAGAGGCAGACATTGTAATACTCTACTACTGGGAAGACAAAAGTAGTGTATTCTAAGTTCTCTGGAAAGCAGCATGGCAGTAGTATCAAGAGCATTCCAAG